AAACCTGTCTTGCTTGAGAGGACATCACCAAGAGGAATGAGGAATTAAAACAGGGATGGAATAGCACCTAAAGGCTTTATAGAAAGAAAAAAAATAGTCTGGGTTATTTTAATATAACCTCTGATGATCAGAGAGGGTCCGGGGGCAATCTGGAAGTTAGCTTTAAGCTCAAAATGAATTTTGAAAGCTCTACCTTTCATCTCTTTTCTGAGGCATCTTTTTTTTTTTTTTCGGATATTTTTTTCATTGATTTTGAGAGAGAGTGGAAGGGAGAAGGGGGGTGGGAGGAGAAAGAGAGAGAGAAACGTTTGCAAATGTTGAGTCTTCATTTTAGGGCCAACACTCAGGCTCCCATGACTCGGGTACGTAACAGGTGAAACGGTCTCAACCTCACTCCCTTGTCTCCTCCTGAAACGGGGGTTGTGAGAAGAAAAGGGAGCTAATGGTCCCTTGACAGGGGCAGAGAGCAGATCAGCTGAATTAGTCATTGTGAAAAAAATCCAAACTTTTACAAAGACGGGGCTAAATTTAAAAATAGGAGAGGACTTGACAATGAAATATGAATGAGAAATGCAAATTTGAGGGAAACGCTGTCTTGTTTAAAGAACCCATAACATGTGAGGCCAGGTTGAGGTATTTATATTTATTACTAGATATAGAAATTTATTTTCCTAGCTCTCTGTTTCCTTAAAAGGAGGTAAAATCAGCTACATGACAACTGCTTCTATTTACAAATGACAGTTACTCACATTTTGATTGCTAACTTTTTCTTGGTTCCTAAATTACATTTTTTTAGTGTTTCTTTTTGTTCTGCTCCTTTGACCTAGCCTGGAAAATCTGAAGAGCATTTCTTTCTCTCTTTCTTTTTCCCCAACTCTAACAGGCCTTTACAAGTTTTTCCCCTAAACTCAAAGTATAAAAATAATGGGATTTGTAAAATGCATGCGTAACGGACATTTTCCTTTGCAATGAGATAGCATCCATAGCTTAACACAGTTTAACTTCCCTTCTCTTCATCAAGCTGTTTACAGTAGAAATGACCCGTTTATCACATACAGAAGACTTGTGAGTGTATAGATTGTGCATCTGAGAGCCCAGGCTCAGGCATCCACGGCTCATCGCTGACAAGCCCAGTTCTCAACAACGATGCTCTAGAACTGACAGGACTCATCCAACGCACCACGTGTCTGGGGGCCAGACACGCGTCACCCGAGAGATATGCAGAGTCAATGCAGGTTCCCAAAGCTGTTCTAGATCCACAGTCTGTGTCTGTGGCAATCTGGTGCTTACAAGCTCATGCTGAGTATTTTAATGTGCACGTTATGAATTAATAAAAGCCAGTCTTGCTAAATACCTGCTTGACAGCAAATGAATCTTTAGGACTCCATGTCTGTTTTGGTGATTTAATCCTGAAGCAATTCAGAGTTAAACTGGGCAGGTGAGTAAGATCATATACTGATTACCGGAACATGGCACAGTGCAAATGAGAAACAGGAGCAGTATAATTCTCAGCCCCGTGCAGCAATGTATTTGAGCTGTTTTATATAGAACTTAAATAGAACAGCTTTCCTTTCCAATACAATTTTTGTGTTATAACCACAAGCTGATTTTTTTAACATACATTTCAAACCAGCTCCACTTTAAAGAGATTTTATTTTTCCAATACAGAGTGTTCAATAGCCCAATGAGCTCTTACTAAATGCATGCTTGTATGTGTTTTATTTCATTTAACATTTACAGAAACCTTATGAGACTGGGATTCTTTTAACTGTCATTGATAGATGAGGAATCTGAAGACATTAAGTATCTTGCTGAAGGTCAAGCAGATAGTGATTAATAAGGACGAGTTCTGAACCCAGGCAGTTCAGCTTCAGAGCCACCATATAATGTCTCATTTGCACCATGCAACATCCACTGTGTTTCAGCGGTTAAGACCAGCGCTTAATGATCTCTCCAGGGGTGATTCAGAAAAAAAATTACATGATTTTACTGGAATATTTTCCTCTTCTAGAACTCTATTTCCTCCATCTGAAATAGTTAAGGCTTAAGAAGG